ACTAGGGAGGAGAGGCGAGTGGCTGCGGTGTAGTGAGCAAGTGGTCCTGGAGGTGTGGGATCAACCGCCGACTTGCGATGCGCACCCGCGCATGAGCGACACAATCGACAACTCTATTCTCGACTTCCATGTTCAGCACGCGTTGGTACCTTCCTAGCCATTCTACACCTTCAGTCGACCACAACACGTATACCGATGCGTTGTAGTATCATGAAATTGGGATCAGTGCTCGAACCGATTCAGCAATGAGCTCGCCACTTCAAGACTCGTCCAGGGGCCGTATCAGGCTGAGGAACAACGGAGCTGTCCAGGGTACGAAGCATATCTAGGTCATCACAGTGGGGAGGGAACGTACTCGAGCCCAGGCAGGAGACCCGAGCGGGCCCGTGTATCGATCAGTATAGGCCATGACGATGAACAAGCTTGACTGCGTGTCTCTTCGGTAAAGCCTCCGCTACTCCTGCAGCGAATGGCACGCGGCTGCATACTGCCTCGTACATCTACTGAATTCACTCCACCACTGCCGTTTAGCGCGCACAGTCTTGTAAGCGCCGCAACACTCGTTTCCTGCGTACAATCTAACCTTATCCCAGACCGCCATCTTCGTCGGGGTTCCTCCCGAGCCACTATAGACGCTAACTTGCCTCTACCGCTAGCCTCAGCTCCCAAATTGTGTATGCTTTGCGTTGCGAATGTTCTTCCTAGCCTCATGCTGATACATATCACTAGCTTCAGTTGCGCAGAGCGCTACCCGCTTGTCGAACAGCATGCATAGCGGTCCCTAATGTCGACAGTCCGAGTTGGGCTGATCAAAGACTGTTCTTGTCATAGGTTGGATAGTACTGTTGTACACGGGCACCGCTATCTGTCATGTGATCCCGCCCTCGGTTCCGAGTATGGATGGGCATTTGCGCTTCGGAAAAGGTCGAAGCCATTTTTGTCAATGGCATACTTCTATCATCTCATCTCCGGAACACTCCATACCCAAGTTGTGCGCTACCATCCTCAAACCTATCATTGTCATGCACCGTC